AGGTCTGCTTACCAAGTGGCTTTGATGTTACCATAGGACCAAGATTTTCTTAAAGACTAGATGTGATTGATCTGTGGCAGGCAAAGGGGTTGGTTCTTGTATGGATATTTCAGTCAGATATTCTGTGTGATTTGTAGATGAAAATGTTATCAAAATACTTGAAATTTGGAAGGCTGTTAAGAAGAAAAATAGTTATCAAAGCTTGATCATTGAGGATGCTTGGTGTAATTGTGAACTCAGTTATTGCTCTGCTCTGTTTTTTATGCCAGAGGAGGATTAGGCAAGGCCAAAAAATAAATTAATCCAACTTTCTCATAAAAAACATACTTGGAAAAAGATTTTTGACTGTGCACTGACAATTCATTGATATGCCAATGACTTTCTCATCATTTTCCTTCACATTAACAAAATGAAGGTGCTTAAAGGCCCACATGAATGTGTGCAATGCGCTTGTTGCTAGGCTGTCTACTGAAAATGTTACTGTCATTTTTGCACAAGATGAGAAGAGATTAAACTCTTCCTGACATGCTGAAAAATATTCTGTCTTCAAAAGTATTTATAGTGAAAGCAGTTAGAATACATAAATATGTTCTTATTATTACTTTTTTATAAATGTAATTCTTGCCATTGCTGGCCAGGCGATGCTACATGACTGAATCAGAAGTTGTGAAGGACAAGCTTTTCTCAGTAACTCTTAAGATAGAAAATGTTTCAGAACACCTGAAATAATGAAAAAGATTCACTGAATGCAAATGACAGCTTTCATCTTCCTTTATGAAGCACATGCTCATGAATATATACATTTTTGCATATGTAGAAGCTCAAGTGTATCTGCCTTCCGATGAAGGAAAGAATGAGGAAATTACGTATTCAGAACTAGTTGGAAGTTTGCTTTTTTTGTTGAATTCTCCAATTTAATTGAAGCTGCTTTCCTGAGATGGAGCATTTCTAAGAGGCTGCCAGATTTGAGAAGGGGGCACTGTTATCCCCATCTCCTTCCATCTAGAGGTTTTGTCCTGTTTTAAATACCAGGGTTGCTTTTGGTGATCTAACAGCCTTTTGACAGTTCAGTGTTTTCTGTCTGCACAGTCTGTCCATCTAAAGTAGCAGAGCATGAGAAGCTGATCTCCTAAGGGAACTCCAACAATATCGACAGGCTTGATTGACAGAAAACCAGTCTCTCTCTTTCACCTCCACTGAACTCTTAGAGTAAATTCAGGGCCTGATTGAAGAGAGATACGGCTTTAGCCATTGACTTCCATGGGAACAGAATTTGAACACTAGTAGCTACTGCTCTCTCCTAAAGCAGCCCTGAATATCTTGGCAAATACTGTTTAGAAGCACTATCAATTTGATCCTGCTTCCTTCTCAGGACTGAAAGCCAAGTTCAGGTCTATTTATGTCTTATTAACTAGAGCAGGCTTTGGATGGGAACTACAGCAAGCATTTAAATCTTCTCCTTGAAAAAAGGGTTATGGCTTAATGGATGTTGTTCAGATTAAAACTGTTATTTATTCTTGATATTTCTATTTGTTACTGTCAGATAGAAGTCAAAGAAAGAGCAGTGCTTTCTATCTTGAAGAGTTTATCAGGATGGAATAGCCTGAAATTTGTCTCAAGTGAATCAATTCTCACTTTTTTTGACAGGAAAATACCAACAGTAGATTTTCCAGATATGCTTCAAAATACCACACATGCTCAAAACTTTGAGGATGTCAAGAACCATACAGAAAGATGTGCTTATCAGTTCAAGATAGGAACATCTACAGATATCCAAATTATATTTTCTATTAAATCAGCAGTACAAAAGGTGGGAGAAGAGGCAGGGACACAGGCAGAGGAAATGGAGAAAAGTAAAACTTCAGTCCATAAATTGAAGAGTGTCTGTCTGGAATGGATAAGAGCAAAAGCAGAAAAAGTTTAAAAGATTCCTCTTTTTCCTTCTTCTCCTTCTAAGTGTTTGGGGGAATAATATGCCACTTCTGCTGCAATCCTTCCATATTATTCACATAATGCTAATATTGTTTGAATAGCTCCTAAATATTGTCTTTTTTAATTGATAACCATAGTACCAATTTATTACTTTTTTCTTGCCTGGAGTAAATGTATTATTTTAAAAGCACTTCTGACATTTCATTAAACTGTTAAAAAGAATTCTACTAAGGAATAGTTTTGCAGATATAGTGGAATGGGATATGCTCTTTCCAATATCTTCTGTTGTTGTGTATTTGATTAGTAAGAATGATGGTACTAATGTCAAATATTCATGTGCATCTGGTCTTGAAAGCCTAGAGAACCTTTCTTACAAGGGATTTCAAGAGGACTGAAGTAAACCAGAGATCTGAGTTCTTCTGTTTACTGAGCAACATGTTTGAACTCCTAAGACTCTGGTGCACTCTACCTTAAGTCCTGAAAAGAAAAAAATAAATAATTTGATTTCTTTGTATTTTGAGGTTGGTTACCATAGTTGTTTACAAATGTAAACAATTAAGACCTGCACCATTTCAGAACTAATAAGATAATTTTCTGTCTTGCTGCATGTAATATGTTACGTGACTGTGTTTGGTTTTTTAAAAAACAAACAACCCAAAACTATCTAATCTGGACTCTGTCTTCCTGTCAGAATATTTTCTTTTGAACTTTTTGCTTATGTTAATGTTGATCGACACAGATCTACTTTTTCCCCACAGCTCCCCTCAGTTTGCTGTAGAGGGATATAGCTTTCATGCAGAAACTTGCCCATGAAGGGCCTGGTACCATTGCCCTTTTCCATCTTCTTCCATGCCACCTGAGAAGTCTGCACAATGTTTTTCACTTTTTTAAAGATGGAGGGGTAAATTTGTTTTGCAGTTCTGTTCAATCTCACTCAACTTTAGGAAGGCCCAAGTTAACGAATAAGACGTTGTCAGATGATTATGCTGGATATTGGCAAGTCCAGAAAAGCATCAGCTTCCTATTTGTGGTTGGCTAATATATAGAGAGGATATGTAGTAAACCATAGGACTTCCTAGCTTGCTCAACCACATCATAGTATATGGGTGAATACCACATGTGTACATTAGCAGATGATCATGGCATGTGTAAATATCCAGTGTGCTGATTGTTTTTGCATGCTACTTCTAATGGTATTGTATGTTGCTTGGTAGTTGTTCAATGCTTAAAACAAAAAGCTTTTGAAGCTTCAGATGTGACGTTTAATAGATATTTCTCTAATGCTGGACTTAGCATCCACTCCTCCCTCAGTCACTCCAAAATGAATCGTAAGTAACCACTCTGAAATCATGCAGCTTTGCACTGTGGAATAAAATTGGTGCAAGGCAATCGGCCCTGAAAAATCTCTCCACCTGCAGAAAGAATCACCACAGCCACCTGTATGCTTTTAAACCTTCACTACTTAAAATTTAAAATGGTTGGCTGAGCATTGCTTCTACCAAAATCAGATGCAATAATCAAAGTCAGAGGTGGGGAAGGACCTCTGGGGTCACACAGTCGAGCTTTCTGCCAATAATGGACTGTTCCCTGCAGTTGAGTTTCTAGTGACCTTGGAAATTACTAGACTGGTAAAATTGTAATGAAAAAAACAAAGCCATTAAAACTTCAGAAGTAGCCAAAGTGGTGCTATCCCAATGAGAAATTGTGGTAAGATTCTCCAAGAGCGTTGCTCCTTGCTTGCAGTTTTGAAGTGGTCACATTTTTAAATCTACGCTTTCTGGGTCATTTTGAGCTGGCTGTGCCTAAGAGGTTGGGGGAGGTGAGCTTGTTTTAATATTATATGAACTTATCTCAGCCTTTAACCGAACCATTATTTTTACTGCAAATTAATAAGTCAGCAACTTAACTAGCCCCTTTATTGCAACATTTCCTTTATGTCCCTGCACTTCTATTCTTTCAACATTTCTAGCTTCCCAGAAACAGGAAACAAGAAGAATAAAGCAAGTTTCTTGCCTTTTCCCATCAAAAAACCCTGGTTAATTAACTGGAGCCTCTACTTTTCATGCTTGGGAAACTGAAAATTCCTGAAAAAAATTCAGATGTGACTCTTCATTTTTAAATTTCTTTCTGCCAAGCCAGTATTGCTTTATTTATCTGTTGATGTAGGCAATAAAGGACACTCCTGACATACACCTAATGAAGTGGGTAGAATCTGGCGCCTCTTTAAGATGATGGCAGCAAAGCCAAGCTCCCACCGTCAAGCTAATTATAGGTTTGGCTGAGAAATCATTTAGGAGTCTGTTTAAAAGCTGGGTAGATGGGAAAGGAGCCCAAGACATAAAGTTCCCTTCCTGTTGTACCCATTTGATGTGTGGTAATTTCTTCACTAGGGGGCCCTATTGTGAGCTGCCTTTTGGGGTGTGCAGCTCTGTGACTATCCTTTCTTCCCGGGGCTCTGGCCCTTCTGACTATTGTATTCACACACACCAGATCTTAGTTGGAGAGGAAAAGGGGTTTTCTTAGCTGCCAAGTTGCTTAAAAGAGGAGTTAAGAGGAAAAGAAAGCTAATTGGACTGTACTTGGCAAAAGTCTCAATTTTATTTCGTTTATACAGACTTTTAAAGGACTGGGTGCCGAGAAACACAAAACTAGTGAGAACACTTATTCCTTAAACAAGTTCTTGCAAAGTTTTTACAATAAAAACAGAAATCTGCTTTAGTAAAGCAGTGTTTATCCTTGCACTAATGCTGGTCATGAATATGTGTCTAACTTAGCTGGAACTAATGCCTGACTCTACTATTCCACTACAGCAACTTAACATTCTGCGTAGGCTGATTATTCTTTCAACAATATTTGCTAAATTCTTTTAAGGGCTGCCAGTATATATTTTTTGAAGCTTAGGTAGTAAGAACAGCTGCCAGTAGAGTCAAGGCTAAAAGAGGCAAAAAATATCTGCAGAAGGCAAGATTTTACTTCAAAAGACCAGTATTACAAAGCACTACTGTTGCTGGTATAATCACTTTCTTTGGGGGGGATGCTAATATAGACTGGGTTTCTTGTCTTCACAGCCCCCACTGAGCCTTTGCTGTGCAAATTTGCTGATGGAGGGCAAAAGAAGCGCCAGAATCAAAGCAAATACACACAGAATGGAAGGCCGTGGCCCAGAGAAGGAGAGGTAAGTGCCACACAGCAATTATTTTCCCGGGGTTTGGCAGAAGTCAGCTGCGGACCTGGAGGTCTGCCTTGCAGGGCTATGAAGAAATCAGATTGCACACAAAGTACAATAGTTTCACACAGAAAAAGGTATATAAGCAGGAGGGAGAGAGAGGCTTATAAAAGCATGTGGAGTGTAAAGTTACAGGAAAAGAGAATTTCAGAGCTTGGTGTGGAACTTGTGCGCAACCTTGTCCCACCACAAGTGTTCTGTCTGCACCAGAACCTGAGCCCAGTACTCTCTTACTGGTCTGCCATCAGCTCCCATGGCATACCTTTTATAAATGCCCAATTAATTTACGCTTAAGCAACTCAGCAATGTTATTTCTTCCATATCATTCCTGCTGATAAAACATTATTGTTACAAAAGGGAAAGATGCACTTGCACGTCTGAATGTGTAGTCCATGTAAAAGTTTTCCAAACTGCTGGGCTCTTCATTCTGTTCAAGACAAAACATTTTACAGTAGCCTCAACTCCATCATGTGTACAAAGTTAATAAAAAAATCTGTTACGTTCAACGATACTACAAATAGTCTGTTACTGGAGTTTCTTTTCTGTGAACTTGTACGTGAAGTAACACCAAATGTGGGTGAAATAAGAAAGGAATTTATTTGACTCTTCAAAAGTGTGTTTACTCTTCTTAAATGTTATTGTAGGATAAAGACTCTTGAAGAAATGAGGTAGATCTGGTCATGATACCTTCTTATGCATGATTATAGCTATGTGACTGAAGAACTTAGAAGTATTTCTATCCTAAGCACCTAATCTTTGTGTTTATGATTTAGACTTGAAGGGAAAAAATGTATGTTGCTCAATTGTGACCAACTAGAATACAGGTTGTTGTGAGTTTTTGTTCTTTTTAGGGTTTTTTTGGGTGGTTTTTGCAATATTTACTTCAATTTTACAAAACAAATAAAGAAAGCTATTTGGTATTTCTAGCTTATATGTTTCTAGAGGATTTCTGCTTTTTTGTGACTACTTGATTTTGCTAGCTGATATTTTTCAGACCATTAGCTTATGACATACATACTCTAGCATGATTGGTGAGCTCCTTAAACAAACAGAAAGACCTCTTGAAAGCATAGAAACCACCCTCCAGCAAGGTGGTTATTGTACACTGTTCCAACAGCAATGCTCAAATGTACTTTTACCTCTGTGGGCTGAAAGTGCAGTGCAGCAGCCACATTTGCTACAAGAAATTGCAGAAGTGTCCAAAGGTTCATTGCAGTCTCTTATGTCGTATATCTCAAAAAATGGAGATGTCTTCTTAGGAGCCATTGTGGTTTGTCATGTTAAGGATCTACTGAGAAATAAGTACTCAAGAAGTACTTCAAGCGGTAGACTTCAGTCGTTGTATACAGAGCTTTGAAAACAAAGGTCTATATATAGGAGACAATAATAAACCCTCAATAAAGTCAACAATCCATATTTTAAAGACCTCTAAATCCCTGTTTAAATAATAAATATGATCATAATTATTATCTCCAGTGTTCTATACTTCCTTCAGTTCAAATCAATAAACAAGAGAATATAAAGTTAAAGCCAACAAGCCACCGTTGGCCTCAGGGCATCTGCTTATTACATCTCGGGTAGTTCATTTGCTGCCAGTGGAGTGGCTCATGTTAAGCACAGTGATGTCCCCGTGACCTAGAGGCAGGGTGTGGTTTGTGTGTTATAGTATCAACATTTAAAAACTAGTTTTCAGTACTGGGAGTTATCATTCCTTACTGTTATTTGCAGTCAATTACAAAGCTGTTGTCATGGTACGATCTACAATGCTGGAAAGATTGTGAAGATACAAAGTCAGAAATATTTCTAACTAGGAATGTGTTCTGTTTTCTTAGTTTTTCTTAGATTTTCTCTCAGATTTTTTCTCATATGTTTACAAACATTGGTTAATACCTTGGTGCACATAGGATATTTACTACTCAAAGCATCAAAGACAGGAAATGCGTGTTCTCTTTTAAGGTCACTCATTTAATAGATTTCTTCCTCACTGTTCATTTTCTTATACCCAGTGTAAAATCCTTCTAAGTAATTACTCTTACATTTCACATGCAATAGGGTTTTTCTGATGCTTTGTTCTTTAATGATCTTACTCTAACCACTATGTACCATTCAGTTGTTCTTTATGTAGCAGCACTCTGGTAACCTTCCTAGAATTATTCCTGTCAACTTTAATTTCTTTTAAAAATAACAGGCAGTGAGTAGTGCGAAATAACTGATATATGACAAGTGTCACGGTTCTGATTACAAATGGGATCTGGAAATATTCCCTGAATCTCTGCTTTTTCTTAGTTTCTTCCCCAGAGAACAGCATGGAAATAGTGTCCAAGAGATTACTCCCTCAGTATTTCCACCCTGGCCAAATCCTGTGGTATCTAGACCAAGATGTATTTTGGCTGTTGTTCAGATAAGCCTTTGCATTCTTGAATACGTATGTGAAGGGCATTTTTAAAACTTCTGAGGTTTAACCAACATTAACATTGAGTGTGCATGAGGATTATTGCTTGGAAGGACAGACCCCAGAGAAATGGTACTAACAGTTCTGTCACTGGTATGTGACATAAATTGGGTCAAGTTTGGGTATGTGAAGCAGAGACAGGCAACTGGGCCCAGTACGCTGCTGTACAGGGAAAATGGCAGGAGAATTTGGTGGGGAGAAGCAGGTTTTACCTCTCTGCCCATGGCGTTCTCAGAGGTTTTGCTTTCTTTTATGCAGAGCTTCTGGGGAATTTTATGAGAGAGGATTATTTTTAGGTAAATTTTTCAGGCCCTAATGCAGAATGTAATAGAAAATCTTATTCCTATAATACATTTTTGTAGATTGCTTCACAGCCATATAGATATACTTTAGTTGGCTGTTAAATTGACTTGCCTTTTAAAGTCGAGTCTTTAGGCATACACTGAATTTCTCTAAAGCTTTTCAGGGGTTTTTTTTGGTAGCTGGTTACTTGGCCAGTTGTAACCAGGGAAGAATGCCTGACCATGAATAGCACTTTCTAGTCCTTACCCTTCCACTCTTGTTTGAAGCCTCAGAAAATGCTCAGCAGGCTTACTGAGGCACTTGACTGAGGATCTGTGATGGCTGACCAGTTCTGGACTGAGGAGCTGAGAGCTTAGGTTACTGATGGCTCTGTAAAAGGCTGCCAAATTAGGCATCTAACACATAGGTGAAATAAATGTAGAGTGAAACCTGCAAATGTTCGATATATTTGCAGTGAAATTCTGACCTACCTGATAACTGAGTAATTTACTTATTTATTTAATTATTTATTTCAGCATAGTTTTTTTCTGAGTTGCACTGGTTTAATTCAGCATTCTGTTTTGAAACGTTCCCTGACAAGATCATGTTGAGATGGTGATAGAGGGTAATGATATTCAAATTCTGTCTGTAAAATATTTGATTTAATTTACCTCTAAATTGCAATTGACAAGTCTAGATGTGGGTGACATTTCTCAAAAAAAAAGTTCATTAGCTGAAAATGCATCTGGGGAATCAAGAGTAGTTACAAATTGAGATCAGACTGGATTAAAAACTGCAACTTAAATTTTAAAACATAATCTATTGCAGATTTACTCTTACTTTGTTTTGGTTATTCAGGAATAAAATAATTTGATATATGTATTTAAAAGAGGATTCATTTGAAATTTATCTGGTAGAAAGGAAATAAACTGAAAACAAATTAAATGCTTTGCATCAGCCCAAAATTTATTACTGTTTACATTCTTCTAGAAAGAACAGTTGTAGAAATGGTAGACTTTCTGTATCTTGTCAGCCCAAAGCATTTAAGTTGGAATTTTTTTTACAGTCACAATATTCTGAAACCTTTATTTGCAAGTTTCTGTAAAAGGTAGACCATTTAAATATTTGTGTTCTCTTTCTTGCCAGAGAACATCACCATTGCAGTATTGGTGCATATGTCACAACAGCAACATGTGCCATTGAATGCGACAGCCCTTGTCACTGAATTTGGTCTGATGTCTACAATTATATTGAATAACTGCCCCGAATAATTCTTCTATTGATTGCTTTCATGCTTCTGTAATCTAGGTTACATATTTGTTTCTCAACAGCCAAGAGGTTAACCTCCATTTCCTCCCCTTCCCTCTGTTCCTCCTTTCCCCCTTTCTCCATTGTTTTCTTTCAAGATCGGTTGGTGAAATGCCTAAAGAATTAAACATGTTTTTAATTCTTTCTTAAAAAAATAAGAAGACCTAGTAGTTTGAGAATATTGCTTTTGTTAACAGTTTATCTTTTTATCTGCTACTCATTACAATTCTGTCTAATGCAAACAATAATTTATAGAGAAAAACATGCAATAGTAATTTAAGAGACTTCCTGATTTTTTTGGTGTTCAGTACCAGTGAGGGCCTGAAGCCACTGATCCTGGTGCCAGTTGTCCCTTCTTTAGCAGCAGCAGGCATTTAGAAATGATTAGTAGCTCTGTGCCAAGCTCATTTATAACTCAGTTATAGATTTCTTTTTATGCTTACAAGATAGATACTACCTAGTTACGTTCCATAATCCTCAGCGTCTAGGGCTGATGTACTTTATAGCTAGCCAAATATCTTTTTCTTTTCTGTGGGAGACAATTTCCAGGCCTGTCCAGATATGCAGTAGTACACTCATATGCAAACCATGCACAAAAGCACCTACTATATATTTAGCATGCATATAAGTTAGACGTTGCTCAATATTTTTCATGTTTATTTTCAGCAAAAGCTTAGTTTAGCAAAGAGAGGAATTGAACCTGAAGAGAAGCCTACACAGAGTGAGAAAGTAAAAGTGCAAAATGTAACTGGCAAATAAGTGTAAAGACACGAAGCAATGAGTTAAAAATTCTTCATGACACAAGGCATTACCACTGTGGGCAGCGTTTTGAAAAGGTGCCTAAGTGGCACAAACACCAAAGACCAGTTTAGATGGTTGAATTTTGAGCTTCTAAAGCACATAGACA